CTTGCGCTCTGCAGGCATGTCTGTGGTGGCGAAGGCACGCCGCGGCATGCACGCCTCGCTCACGTTGTTTTGGATCTGCGACACAGAACTCCCTCTCACAGCACACAGGCTCGAAAAGAAGGGAAAAAAATCAGGAGAAGGGCGGCGAGGGCGGCGAGAAGGGCGGCGAGGGCGGCGAGGGCGGCGAGGGCGGCGAGTACTCGTGTCACGACCTAGAGACGCTGGGGGCGCGGGTCAGCGGCGCGTGGCGCTCGCTCCTCAACCGAACCCGCCTCTCGGCCGAGACGGCGACGCTCGCCCTCGAGGTGGCCATCGCCGCTGCGGCGCCGAGAGGCTTCTTCGCAACCTCCAAGTTTTGCGGCCCGACGGGCTACCGCCGCTCCACCCTCTCGGAGGCGATCGCGCAGCGCTGGCAGGTGGTGCGCGAGGCGCTGACGGGCGAGGCGGCGCAGCCACTCTGCGCCAACTCGATCGAGGCGGCGCTCATGCAGGGGCTGACGGCGCACGGGGCGCTGGTGTACTGACTGTGTGACGCGGGGTCCTGTGAGCAGGGGGTCTGTGAGCGTCAGAGAGTGCAGTATTGACTATTGTGTGGTCGATTTGTCGAGTGTACGCTCTACGGCTTCGTTCGAAAAAAGGCACAATACCGTTCACGCGCACTAAATAAGTTTATTCGCACATTCTGTCGCGCCCGCAGGGCCCGCACGCGCAGACCGCTGAATTAACACACACACGTGTGGCGACTCGAGACACAGAGCCCTGCACCCTACCGCCCTTCTCATCACTGCCCCTGCGCCCACGCCTCGACCTTCTTGGGCAGCAGCTGGTTGGACAGGTCCTCTCCGTGGCCTAGGCAGCCGTGTTCGCCCTTGCCCCAGGTAAAGACAGCGCCGTCCGCGGTGATGGCGAGGCTGTGAGACCCTCCAGCCGACACAGCGATGACGCGCTGGCCAGCAAAGGCCTCGATCTTCTTGGGCAGCAGCTGCTGCTGCTCGCCGCCGTGGCCCAGCTTGCCACAGGTTCCACGGCCCCAGCTCCAGACGGCGCCATCAGCGGCACGGGCGAGGCTGTGGCTGTATCCAGCCGACACAGCAACGACGCGCTGGCCAGCAAAGGCCTCGACCTTCTTCGGCAGCAGCTGGCGCTGCTCGTCGCCGTGGCCCAGCTTGCCACGGCCTCCATCGCCCCAGCTCCAGACGGCACCGTCGGCTGTGAGGGCGAGGCTGTGCCCGCCTCCAGCCGACACAGCGACGACGCGCTGGCCAGCAAAGGCCTCGACCTTCTTTGGGAGCAGCTGGTTCTGCTCGTCGCCGTGGCCCAACTTGCCAAAGCCTCCAATGCCCCAGCTCCAGACACTGCCGTCGGCTGTGATGGCGAGGCTGTGGCGGGCTCCAGCCGACACAGCGACGACGCACTGGACTGCCAACCCCTCGATGTTCTTCGGCAGCGGCTGGCTCTGCTCGTCGCCGTGGCCCAGCTGGCCAAACTCTCCCTCGCCCCAGCTCCAAACGGCGCCGTCGGCGGTGAGAGCGAGGTTGTGCGCGGATCCAGCCGACACAGCGATGGCCCGCTGCCCCGCCAACCCCTCGACCTTCTTGGGCAGCAGCTGGTTCTCCTCGTCGCCGTGGCCCAGCTGGCCGAACCCTCCACGGCCCCAGCTCCAGACGGCACCGTCGGCGGCGAGGGCGAGGGTGTGGAAGGGTCGAGCCGAGACGCTCACGGCGCGCTCGCCCAGCGGGGAAGGGAGGCGTGTCGGCGTGTTGAGCCGCGTCACTTCATCGCCGTGCCCGAGCAGCCCTGGAGTGAACATCGACTTTGAGCCGCACGACGAGAGCCGCCCCTCGCCGTCGATGAAGAGGCTGTGCTGACTGCCTGCCGCCGCCCTCGCCGGCGGGTTGGACTCGCGCAGCAGCGCAGCGAGGCACAGCCACCGCACGGCGCAGTCCTCGCCCTCCGGCTGCGCCGGCAGCTCGAAGCCGCGCTCTTGCGCCCGCAAGCGGATGCCCTCCACCGCAATCGAGGCGTGGAAGAGGAGCGAGACGGCCGCGACGCGAGCGATGTCGGCGGGGTCGCAGCGGGAGATGACGCGCGCGAGGAGCTCAAGGGGCAGGTCGGTGAGGGGGCAGTGTGCGGCGGCGGCGGCGGCGGCGGAGGCGAGGCGGCGCGAGCGACGCCGCGGGGCTGGCATGCGAGAAGACCGCCTGTATTCTTTTTTTGGTCACATAGAACTACCTACCTAGAACTGGCACGGGCTGCAGATGCAGCGCTTGTCTGTCGTTCTCCACACCGCCGTGGCGTGGCAGACGGTGAACGAGCTAGCGTGCGGGGACAGCGGCATTGTGCACGGAGCTAAGTGCATTGCCGTTCTTAACGGAGTCGCTTAGGCGGCTCCGGTGGTGTGCCGGTGATAGTACTAGCACGCGCCAGTTCGCACCTGTGTCGAGCCTGTGTGCTGTGAGAGAGAGTTGTTTTGTTTAAATTCTTTTTTTGCGTGGGCGGCACTCATGATGGGCGGTACACCTGCTTGGGCAAAAAAAATACCATCGTACCCGCGCATCGACGGAGCGTCCGCCCGCCATGCCGTGATGAGACCGCTTGGTTGGGGAGGGTGCCTTTTGTTACTCCGTATCCGCCCAGGCAGCCGCGACGACCGTTTTTTTTCTTTTTTTCCTTCCCTCATCCTGCGACCGTACTTACTCGAGTAAGACCTCGAAGTAAGAGCCACATACACAAATATCTGTCGCTCCTCCGTTCAAGGCTCAAGGCTAAACGACACCTGGTAGCGCGAGGCTGGAGGGCCTTCCAGGGGTATCATCGCGCCGCCAGCGGTCAAGATTGCGCCGCACGCCGCGGGCGGCAGCACGGGGGCGCACAGCGGTGCGCGGCGCTGCACCGACCGCTGCGCGGCGAGTGCCTCGCGGGCGCAGAGCGAGGTGCGGAGCCGCTCGCGCTCGCTCGCCTCGAGCTGCGAGCGAAGGTGCTGCGCCTCGCCCGCCGCGGCGTGGCCTAAGGTAATGGGAGGGCGATCTCCACACGCTAGCGATGGGGCTGGGCGCCTGCGGCGAGGGCGCGGCCTCGGCCCAGTCCGAGCTGCAGCGCGCGATGGAGCGCCTCCTTCTCCCTCGCCGCCTGCTCGAGCCTGCAGGGAATTAGGCAACGCCTCCAATCCCCAGGGCGGAGGAGGGCGGAGGAGGGCGGACGAGGGCGGAGGAGGGAGGAGGAGGGAGGAGGAGGGAGGAGGAGGGAGTAGGAGGGAGGAGGAAGGAAGAGGAGGGAGGAGGAGGGAGGAGGAGGGAGGAGGAGGGAGGAGGAGGATGTTGTGGGCTTGAGCCTGCAGGCGAGGGCACCCCTCTCCTGCTCGAGGCATGCGCCCCGCTCCTCCGCCATGCGCCGCTCCACCTCCGCCCGAGCGGATGCCTCTTGCAACTGCCGCTCGAGCTCGCACACGCGCGAGCGGAGAGACGCACGCTCGGCGGACGCCTCTACTGCTCGCGACTTGGCTGCGACCGACCGCCAGCGCTGCAGTGTGACGCCCAACCTAGTAGTGCGGAGCTGGCAGTCATCGTTGGTCACCTCAGCGACGGCAAGGCCAGTGGGCGCACACCTCTGGCGGGCGCCACTCTCTAGAAGCCGCGCGAGTGTCGTGCCGCGTTGCCTCTCGTGCCACGCCTCCTCTGCTTCGCGCAACGACTCTCGCAGCACCGTCTCGGCCGCACAGCCGGCGGCAATGGCACTGCGCCAGAGGCGAGCGTCTGTGGCGCGGCCCTATGGGGAAATCGTTCCGAGTGAAAGAGGAGGAAGTGGTGGGTGCTTGTTGAGGAGCGCGCCTTTCTCGATGCGGCCTTCAGACCATCACACACCGCCGTCACGTCAGCGAGCCGCGCCTTTGCCAGAATGAAGTCACTTTTCAGGATCGCGTTGTCGGCGCTGAGGTCTGGAGGAGGGGAGGAGGGGCGGCGTCGTCAAGGCCGCAGAGGAGCACTGCTGGTTTGCGGCCCGTATGGTAACGCCGCTGTTCCCGCGCCGCTCAGGCTTGCACCTGCAATTCTCTGCCGCAGCAAGACGAGCTCTGACGCTGACGCAACGCCGGGATCTGACGCGACGTCTAGAGCCGCAGAAGACGAGCCCGCCGTCGATCGTGGCGGCAATCGGCCCTGGCGCACGGCCATCGCCTGCGCTGCGTGCCGCGGCAGCTGGAAGGCTCAACCGTGGCGAGCGCGATAGTGCGAGGGAACGCGCGCAAACGTTTCACTTGCGAACGTGTGTTCTTCTTTCTGGGCAAGGGACCGGGCGCTGGCATACCAGGGGGGGCAGGGTGGTGGGCGGCGACCGCCGCATACCGTCCTACGGCGGGGACTATCGCTACGCCAGGGAAGACAAGGACGTCGACGTGCAGCTGCTGCTGTTCGAATCGTTCGGCGGGCTCGGAAAGGTCCGTGAGATCCTCCGGAAGGCGGCGGACGTGCTACAGAACAAGCTGACGCGGGCCCAGTACCTCGATGAGGTGACTTGGACCACTAAGAATTGGCTGGGGCTGCAGAAGCAGCGTATCTCAGTCGTTCTTCACACAGACACAAACAGGCTCACAAGACACACAGCTACACACACTCACGCTCACACAGCCAGCTGGCTGGCTTTGTCTCAAGTGTGAGTGAGTATTCTTGATACGAAACCACGACGACACACACCAGTCGACTCGCATCGGTTGCCTCCATGAACGGCGGAGCTATTCTCGCGCCCACACCACACCTGGCTCCAACGTGGACACGCCCATAGCTGGGGACACTACTAGGTCACGCATGGCATCAGAAGTTTTATCTCTGGGCCCCGAAAGGCATCTCTAGCAGCGTCACACACACACACACACACACACACACACACACACACACACACACACACACACAGCCAGCTGGCTGGCTTTGTCTCAAGAAAAAGAAAGAATGCCAAAGCCACCTAGAAGGCACCCGCTGCGTTTTGGTTGGACCAACAGAGTGATGGTGATGCGCTCTCTGCGCTCGCTCTCCGTCTTCGTGCTGCTTGCTGACGTCTCGGCGTTCTCCTCAGTCCCCGAGGAGCCGCCCTCTCCGTCGCCCTCCCCTTCTCCGGCTCCGTCGCCGTCGCCGTCGCCGCCGCCCGCAGGGCCGCCGCCCGCAGGGCCGCCCCCGTCGCCGCCACCCTCGGCCGAGCCGACACCGCCGCCCTCTGCGTCACCATCCCCGCCACCTTCGCCCTCCCCACCCTCGGCGCCCGAGCCACCGCCTCCACCCGTCGCCGATCTCTTCTTTGGCACCGGCTCCTCCAATTTGCTGCTTCACAACGACGGGAATGGCATCTTCGTCACGCAGGAGACTGTTGGCGCTTCGTCGTACGAGACCCGCTCGGTCGCGCGCGGCGGCGACTTCAATGGCGACGGGATGCCAGACCTGCTCCTCGGCAACCGCTGGCCCGGCTCGGGCAACGTCCCCAACCAGCTCCTCCTCAGCAAAGCTGAGGGCAGCTTCGACGAGCCGATCGATCTCCCAGGCACCGAGGAGATGTCGACGTGCGGCGGGGCCGTCGGCGACGTGGACGGCGACGGCTTTGACGACCTCGTCTTCGCCAACGGCAACGGCTGCCAGGGCTATGGCACCGAACAAGAGGCGTACATCATGTACGGCAAGGGAGGCACCAGCTTTGAGGCGCCGGTGGCGCTGCCGGGCGGCGTGATGGACTCCGTTTCGGTCGAGATCGCCGACTTGACGGGCGACGGCAAGAACGATATCGTCCTCGACAACCTGTACGCGGGAGTCAAGCTGCTCAAGAACGCGGGCAGCCGCGGCAACTTCGAAGAGGTCATGCTCACTGACAAGTACGGCCCGGAGACGCGCCCGCCCGCCGGCTCGGGCTACATGGTCAAGGCCATGGGCGTTCACGACATGGACGGCGACGGAGACCTCGACCTCGTGCTCGGTACGCAGCCCAACCTCCTCCTCCTCAACGGTGGCAACGGTGACTTCGCCGACCCGGTCCAGCTCCCTTCGCCGGAGAGCTGGACCGGAAGCTCGTGCGCACCCTCCCCCCCACCCACCCCCCCTCCCCGTACCGCCCATAACGCCGCCCTGACTCCCGCGCGCTGCTACGCCCCCCTTGTAGGTCCGTCGTCACGATCGGCGACGTGGACGGCGACGGCCACCCGGACGTCGTCTTCGGCGGCACAAAGGGTTGCTACGTCCTGTGGAACGAGCCAAACGCCGACGGCGGACGCGCCCTCCTCTTCGCGTCCGGGCTGCCGTCCGAGCAGCCGTCCACGTTCGGCCTGGCCGACGGCGGCACCGACGTCTTCCCCGGCACACGCAGGTCCCAGGTCGGGGCGGTCGCCCTCGGCAATGTCTTTGGGAACGGCCGCGTCGACATCGTGATCGGCCACCAAACCTTCAACGGCGGTCCGCCCGAGCTGGTCGAAAACACGGGCAACCGCGGCTTTGGGAGCGTCGTCCCGCTCGACCCGCCAGGCTGGATCGACGTCAACGCCATCGCGCTACTCGCGCCGCCTGCGCCGCCGCCGGCGCCCCTCGACTGCGGCTCCTTCTCGCCCTGCGAGGATGGGGAGTGCACCGACGCGCCCCCCAACCTGAACCCGCCCGGCCCAAGCGAGCGCAACGTGTGCGTCGGCAAGAGCGGCTGCGTGGAGATGACGGGTGGGTACGGCTACTGGCTCTGCTGCTCCCCCTCGGAAGACGGCACGCCGTGCCTCCGACCGAACAAGCCGTACACCACCCCGTGCGCGGCTCCCCGGTGGGCTAAGTGTGGCACGCGGCCAAACACTCAAGTCACCCTCGCTCGTTTGTCTCGCTAGGTACTATCGCTTCGGCGACTCGCTCGATGAGTGTCTCGCGTTTGGCTGCGGCGAGTGAAGACGCGCCCGGCATTTTTCCTCCCTAGAGCCCCCCCCCCCCTCCCCCATCCCCCTCGCCCCCCCTCCACTTCCATCGTCTGATGAGTACCATCGGACGGTCGGGCGAGACTTAGCAGCCACTTGGCAAGTGACTTCCGACTTGGACGCGTGGCGCGAGAGGGAAGAGGAGCAATGCATGCGCGGTCGCCGCTTGTCGGAGCGTTCTCATCTCCCACTGCAATAGGGTTTGTGGAGCGTCCAGACATGTACAGAATGTGCAGAAGGTGTACAGAAGGTGTACAGAAGGTGTACAGAAGGTGTACAGAAGGTGTGTACAGTCTACAGAAGGTGTACAGAAGGAATGTACAGAAGAATGTACAGAAGGTTTGAATGAAAAGAAAGCTGCATGCGCTCTCACTGGCTGGTTGTACGGCCCTCAAGGCATGCCCAGACACAGGGCACAGCCACAGGCAGTCTCTGTCTGTCTCTGGCTGGAGCAGTGACATCCACATTGTCGTGCGTGTCTGTCTGTGCAGAGGCCGGACGGACAGTTCGGAGAGGCCAACCATGGGTGTACCTGTGCACATTCTGCTGGAAAAGCCTGCTATGTGCTAAAGGCCTTCTGCACATCTGCTAAGGGCCTTCTGTACATTTGCTAAGGGAGGGCGAGACGATCGAGGGGTCCCGTACCATGCGGAATCGACCCTATCCAGTGCTCAAGTGCTCAAGCTTGCTAAAGGTCTTCTGCAATTCTGTACATCTTGGCGCGAAGCGGGGCGCAACGCGGCGCTTTGCAACGTCTCCCGTCGTGTCCGGCAATCACCCTCATAATGGCGCCGCCGTCGTGGATAAACCGGCAAAGCATGCCAGGCGTGCGTTCGCGATGCGGTTGCAAGCCTTGGCGCTCAGTCGGCCCGCCATCACCCCGGGCGGCACCACCGCCGCGACCAGTTCGCCGGTGACGAGCAAGCGGGTTAGGCAGCCGGGGTTGACGGGCGGCGCAATGGCCCCGGGTTGGCGGGGTTGGCGGAGTCGGTGGCGCCGGTCGCGCAGCATCTGCGGTGCCAGCCGCCGTCAAGGGAGGTACAGCGCCCGTCGCCGGCTCGGCGCCTGCCGGCGCCTCACTACTCTAACGAAGGCTGAGCGCGGCTGGGTATCAAGGCAGCTTGTAGTCATCCAGGGTGCGTCATTCGAGGAGACATACAAGAATTTCACGGGGAAACATGGCAGGCTGCTTGGCTTTGATCGGTTTGAGAAGCACATACGCCATCATCACACACTGGTGGGTCATCCCGCAAAAGGCAGGGAGGATTGCGTGTGCGCCAAGGAGCTAGCACTTGATGGCCTCTTCAAGGCGGGCAGGGAGATGTAGCCGACATGGACAGAGGCGAGCGGAGAGAATGCGACGAACGTGGCCAGCGGTGAGGCGGAGCGGGCGTCGGGCAGCAAGCGTGCCCGGAGGGAGTAGTTTTTTGCTTGTTTGTTGGTTGTACACCGCCATGAGCGCGCTGGTAGTAGTCGTAAGCGTCGCCAGTCACCTTGTGAGCGGAGCTGCTCTTAGTCCTATAGAAGATGTAGGGGATACCCATCACTGAGCCGACAATGGCTACGGGTAAGCCCCCAGGGTGGCGGCTCACCCCCCATACCCTCGGGGCCATTTTCTTGGCCCTTGACTCCCTAGCCCACGACCTTGGTCCCGTTATGATTTTACCTCCTTCCCCGGCCTGTCCCGATACTATGTGGTGCCCCCCTTTCAGTCGAGACTCTTATCTTGGAAGCACCTCTCGTATCTTGGGGTGAATTCCCAGTCTTTACGTTACGTTTTGAGTCCATTGC